ATGTACAAATGTGCTTGACACAATGGATGTATGTATGGATTGTAATAAGAGTTGTAAGAGCCCCCATAAAATGATTTTTAAAAAGGAAAAAAAGACTTCCTAGTCCTGAACCATTCTCACAATTGTTATGTTTGAGCCCATAGTTGCAGCCACTGAGCCAACCCATGTTGCCACTGGCCTTCCTCTTTGTCATTCACTGCCCCTCTACTTCACCAAGCATGCTGTACTGCTTCATAGGCTCCTGGCCGTCTATCACACTATCCAGAACCTGGACTAATAAATGTATGCAACAAGAGCAAAGAAGAAAAGGACCAAGAGCACCGAGTCTCAGCATCTTGGGTGTTCAGATTTGAGATGGCTGTCCAATCTACATCCCTGCTAGCCTCTACCTTCCAGGACTGAAGCCATGCTCTCTCATTGCCCTTAGCCAAGGTACACATTTTCATCATATGGATGTATACATTTGATGTACATTAGATATTCATATGTATACTGGGATGCTCAAAGCTTTAGTCAACAAAAAAATCCTCCTTCATTTAAAAGTACAAATAAAGTTACCTCCTGATACCTTTCAGTGGCACAGTAGGCATGTCATAGTAGAAGGACTAGATGATTGAATAGTGTGTGCGTGCGCACACTTTAGCTTCAGTATCACGTGATAGGGTTACAGAAGCCGCATACAGTAAAAGTAAGGGTAGAGTTGGCTGCATCAGACAATTTAGACATCTACACAGTGATTGTTATAACAGCTGGGCATTTTTGTTGTGACATAGCTTTAATATATGAGATATGGTTGTAAATTAATTGGATCAACTTCATCATCTTGTTCCATATTTTGTTTTATGATGAGCTGCAAACCACAGTCTATACAGTAAGACTTGGGGATCAGCAGGATAACCAAGAAAATATAATTGGAGGTTGAAAAACCTCTCCATTTTACAATGTAACATCTCCTCATTAAACAGCTCTGATGATCCTCAGAGATTTATATTTCCAAACACTGTCTTGCATGCGCTCCTTTAGAAAGGAAACCCCTGACATGCATTTAATTGTCCTCTTGCCCAATACAGCAAAGAATATGGGAAACTATTGTAGTGTGATCATCTGCACTATTCAAGCAAAAGAAGAAGGAAAGAAAGAACAGTGTGCTTCATGTAACTCAAGCCAAATTAGCCAGATTTCCTCAATCAGAAACCCCTAACTCAGAAAACCCAGCCATCTTCCCAGTTTGAATTGAAACCTTGTGTTTGTCAGGAAACATGGAAGCCTAGGAATGGAGTTTGAAAGATGAATAAAGATGTGATAGAAGGAAATAAAAATAGACAATTCAGTCAGCGTGAATCTAGAAGTGTAACATCCCTTCCCTGCACGGATCACTGATCCCACTGTCACCCGAGACTTGAGCTCCAAATGTTACTTACCCAATGACAATACAGGAGATAGCAGTTCCCAAGAAGGCATATGTTAAAATAGATCCTAGGTTTTGAAAAAAATGTTTCTGAAAAAAAAAAAAAAAGAAAGAAAAAAATGTTTCTGAGGAAGAAAGAAAAAATGTTACAATTTATCAGCATATTTCTCAGTGTAACCGGAAATAAAAATTAATGAATGCTTTATCACAACCCCTTCCTTCCTTCATGACTGGCAAATTTTGTTTTTGGAAACCTAGTTCCTGGCCTCATTGTGCATATAGAGAATTTATTGGTTTATGCTGCACAAGGCAAAGGTTACTTAACACAACAGGAAATAGTGATGGTGAAACAGGAAGTGGTAGTGAAAGTCTAGGAATGGGAGGGATGAGGGTCAGTCCTGGCTAAATTGGAAAACAAGGGAAGGGCCTGGGCAATAAATTCCAGGAGGGGCAATTAGTGAAGGGACCTGATTTTCCAGAAGTTCTGCCTCAATGAAATCTCTTAATACACCACACTGAATAATTTAAGTTGTTTTTTTAATTTATTAGATCGCTGATTTGTGTATTCCCTGAAAGTGATGGGCAGGTCTTTACGACAACAAATGACTCAATTTTAGTGTGAATCAGACACCAAAGGACACTTAGTATTGGGGCTGAGGCGTGAAGAGGGCCGACCTGAATAAAACCAGGCTTCTGATTCTTTCCAAATGCTGGCTTGGGGAAATCCCCTTCCAGTGTTTGAAAGAGGGTCTGAGTAGCCAGAACTGACAGCAAATAAGAAATGCAGGTCTGCAGTGAGTCCGCAGCCTGAATGCTGGAAAAGGCTGGGTCTCAAGGTGGAGACTCCTGGAATGCCCTAGGATGGGAGGTGACAGCAGGAAGAACAGCGTCTCCTCTTACTCTGCGCCTCACACGTCAGACAGGCCAGAGGCTCCTTCTGTGGCACAGAGGAGGGACGGCAGTGTTTAAACTCTCATGCCAGCTGACTGATGTGCACCTTCAGATTGCGCCCAAGTTGCCAGGCAAGCAAACGAAAACCGCAACACTCAACTTCGTTTCTGTGTAGAAGGAGATTTGAGGATGTGAGGAAAACATTCTTGGATTTTTACCCAGATGGCTAAGGCCAGCTTTCATTGACAAGTAACATCTTTAGCTATAATCATATAAAAGAGTTTGATCAATAGAGACATCCTGGGAGCACTGTGTCAATTCTTTTTCTAGTAGCCTCATTAAAGTAAGGGGGGAAACATAAATAGGTTAAATGAATTTTAGTGTGTTTTATTTGACAAAACATATCAAAAAGATTATTTCAACATGAAAGCAAGAGAAAACACAATTGAGATATCATAGCATTTAAAAAAAACACTCAAATCAAACTCTCAGTCACGTTGCCCCTATAAAACAGAGTAGAATGGCCCCTGGGAGTCTAAGAGACTGTAACTCTCCATGAGTAGAAAGCCTCATCTTTCTCCTGAGGAGTGGCTCATGGTTTGAATTGCTGACCTTGTGGTTAGCAATGGGTTGCTAACTACACAAAACCAACACAAAACCACCAGTTCTCTAAAATCCAATGTATATTGTACCCTGAAAATCCATCTCGATTCAGATTAGCCACATTTCAAAGCTTAATATTTGATATGTAGTGGAACCGAATCAGATTTTAATTAGTATCACATAACTCCAGATGATATTCTTACAAAATAAGGTGCATTCATAAAGTATCTGTTTCTTAATTAGCAGTGGGAAATTTATCCAATTAAAAATAAAAGAAATGTGTCATTATATATTTACCTTCTTTAAGCTATATCCTGCATGAAATATAATCGGTGGAAGTAAAACATTGAAGAATATTTCTGGATCAAATGTCATCTGTCAGAAAATACAAAGGTGCAGTTAGTTAAAAAGATGCTCTTTCGGATAATTTTTTAAATATATGTTTTTAATAGAGAGTTATAAAATCCATATAATTTTATGTTTATATGGTTTCCTAACAGCAACAAAAGAAAAAAGCCCTCACTGCCACCGAGTCAATTCTAGCAACCCTGAAGGAGAGGGTAGAAATGTCCCTGGGGTTTCTGAGGATGTAAATCTTTACTGAAGTGCAAAGCCTCACCTTTCTTCCACGAAGCAGCTGGTGATTTTGAACTGCTAACCTTGAAGTTAGCAGCCTACCACATAACCAGTATGAAAAATGTATGAAATACATTAGCATACTATCAAATTGGTAGAAATGAAAATAGAAAAATGCTCATTTTGAAAATAATAAATGCAATATAAGTATATAGTAACACTTTAAATGTAAGGTCTATACTGCCATTCTATACCTAATAAAAAAATAAGATTTCCATGAAACTTCTCTGAAAAAAATGAATCCCTTATTTTGATTAAGAGTTAATTCCTAGTATTTTAAACATTCTCAATTTTTCTGTCCAAATGACTTAGTAATTTTCAATTATTTTGGTGTCTGACCAGGCTATATTTAAAGTTTTTCTACCAAAAAAACCACTTTTGGAAATTTAGTCTTGTTTATTTATGTCTTATATCATTCCAGAGTTTAACATACTTTCCAGACCCATGGCAAAACACATTTGAAAGTGAAAATGGATTTTTCTAGCATTTGTTTATTGGTGTTTAAATGTTAAAAAAAAAAAACTGGTCCAGAAAACAATTATGACTTGGTGCGAAGTCTAATGAAATGAGCTGTAGAAATGCCTAAATCCAAGATACTCTAGTTGCTGGGTTACTGAAAAAATAAAACCCCATTTAATCTTTATAATCTTTCTAGACTTAACCCTTCCTCATTTGAATTCTCTTTCCTTCTGTGTCACACAAACACACACACATAGACACACACACGCACACTAATTGGCAGTTCGATCCCACTGAGAAGTACTGCAAGACTATAAGCCTGGAGATCTGCTGTGAAAGGTCGCACAGCAGCGAGAGCTCGCTCTATGGGGCTCAGTTCCACTCTGCATTCAGTGACAACAAACCACAGCAGCAACGTTTAGCAAGGAGTCCTCAGCACGACCACTTATTCACTCCCATCATAGCCACCCTGTAAGGACAGGGCAGAACTGCTGCTGTGGATGGTAACACTTAGAAGGGAGCAGCAAGCCTCATCTTTCTCCTGTGGAACAGGTGGTGGTTTCGAACTACTGATCTTGCAGGTAGCAGCCCAACATGTAACCACTATGCCACCAGGGCTCTGCCTCCATTCCCAGTGCTCATTAAAATTTTTCAGATGGATAAATTTTACACTTAGAATTTCTCATTTCTTCTCCCTTTTAAGCTGAAATTCTTACTCATCAGTGCAGCTGTATCAGAAAACATACTTCTCTTTCGAATTGGCCTTGATTTCCTTCCCTTGTAGCTCATGTTTTATAATTTACTTTGCATGATCATTAGTTTGTTTTTCATGGTTCCCCCATTAAAGAAAGATCTTATCAAGGACCACAATGATGATTTCATCAGTTCTGCATTGCTCCATCCCTCCAAGTGTCTAGCCCACTGCTCAGTACATATTTGTTGAATTGAAAAACAAAGTAAAACCAAAGTCCAATTACACTTTAAGGTGTATTAAACAAAATGAACGATGCTTACCCATATCATCAGAAATCATTATTTAAATAGAACCTAACAAAATCCAAATTAAATAGAACCTAACAAAATCAAAAAATATTTTCCACTTTTTGAGACTAGGTGGACACTGTCACATCATCATCTTCCTTCTTCCCCATACCGGCTTATCAATTCTGCTCATCTAACTTTTTAGAAAAAGGTTGGTGAGGAAGTAGAAACTGCTCTTACTCTGTATGGCTCCATCCCATACACCTAATCATTGGTGTTACTGTTTTTGTGGACCAGGGAAAGTTGAAGCTACCCCAAACTGGAGGGTGAGCTACGGCCACATCTCTACCTTGAAGCCCGCTGCTACTCTCTCAGCCTGAGGCCTATACGGTCTTGCTTCATTGACCTCTCTTGGCCCACTAGCTCCCTGCCATGCTAAATTTATATACCTTGACTTAAATCCACAAGAAAGAGAATGTACCTGCCATTGGTGGGTGTAGGGAGGGTCTCCTCTTCTGGAGGTGCTATGGCTTGGCAAGGTTCATAAAAGTCAGCTTACCACTCATGCATACCCCCCACCCAGTAGTTAACATGATTGCTGCACATACAGAAAGAGGGACAACCCATTGAATTATTTCTTTCTATTCCTACTCTACATCAGGCCAGTGACCCCACACATTTTGTGGTGATTAATGGTTCATGATTGTTACTCTGGTTTCTCCCACTAAAAGACACAGTTCTTCAGCAAAGAACATGTCCTTATAAATTTGTGGGGGGGGGTTGTTTTGTTTTTCTTCTCCCACATATTAGGTGGTTTATTGTCAGACAGAGGCTTAAGACCTTTATTGCTTATTAACTGGCTGCAGATCATGCCTGGGAAGTCGTCAGTGTAGAAGTATCCCTTGCCCTTTTGAGAATCGTTGGACTTCTCAAGAACCGGGACTGAGTGCCAGAGCACTGCCTACAACCAAATATCCGAGGAAAAGTGAGCTGTGTTAGGCAGGATTCAGGAAGAGATGCATTCTGAACAAGTGCCTCGTCTGTGCAGGACCAAAGGCAGGCATTTTCTGAATGGCATTTCATTTAGTCTCCACAGGGAAACAGAGAAGAAGGAATTTAGCCATTTCATTGGTTCAATTAGTACATCATTCATCCCAGCCTCTATGGTAGGTCCTAGATATCAAATGGTGCATATAATCCTATGATAGAGGAGAAAATAAGGTTGGGAGAAGTTGAAACTTGTCAAAGTTAGGCTTCCTACTATTAACCAAGGAAGCTGGAATACAAATCCAGGTGTTAAAATTTCAAAGCCTGCCTGTTTCTTACACACTCTACTATCTTGAAATCCAGCCAGAATACACTGTGTTAGGCAGGGTTTTCTAGAGAAACAAAGCCAGGACACTTTTATAGGCAGGGTTCTCTAGAGAAACAAAACCAGGACACTTTTATATATATATATAT